CACACACACACACACACCACACATATACACACACACACACACACACACACACACACACACACACACACACACACACACACACACACACACACACACACACACACACACACACACACACATACATATTTATATACATATATATGTATATACATATATATGTATATACATATATAATATATATATATATATAATATAGTATATATATATATATATATTATACATATATATGATATATACATATATATGTATATACATATATATATATGTAATATATTATATTATTATATTTATATATATTATATATATATATATATATACTATATATATAATATATATTATATATATATATATATATTATATATATAATATATGTATGTATGTATGTATGTATATAGGGGGCTTTAGTATTATTCGTATCAATAAACAAATGTAAGCTGTGACTGAAAGAGTGCCGGCTCCATGGAAGACATCATTTCTTTGCTGTATTCCTGTCCACTTTGACCAGTGGTAGTGGTTGTATTATGGAAAATTGAAAATTACAAAAAATTGAGATATGTCACACAAATAACTAAATATTTCTTCTTCTTCCACTGAGTTTTTTACTACATAAAGATGATATGGAGTCTGTGCAAGGAAAATAAGCTATTATCATCTGGATAAAATAAATCAAAAGACAAATATGGACATTGGAAAATGGCAAAAAGGCAAAAAAAAAAAGTTTACACAAAATAACTTTGGAAAGGTGAGGCACAGTCTTGTCACTGCTCATGGGCGTTTGCATGTTCCTGGCCTACGCACCGCACACCCGGGAAATGCCCATTTTTTGGCACCGTGATTTCTGTGACTCGACCAGATCCAACGGGTTAATAAGCTGAAGTTGCTGTGGACTTCACCTGTTTTTTTGTTATTTGCTGGCAGTGGAGATAAAAAAGCTTATTTAGTAATAAGATATTTTATTCATAACTAAAATATTTTATTTTATAACTTGTCTTACTGGGCTAGCAAACATAATGCTTTGTTCTGATGTGGCACAATGCTGATAAGTTGGATGCCAGGGAATGACAGAAACCAAGTGTAAAAAAGAAAGAAAGTAAAGGAAAAATGAGGCAAAGAAAAATATAGACACATTTTTAATACTAAAGTAATTTCCTCTTTTCTGCCTTTACACATGCAAGAGGTGGTTCATGAATTATTTTGTTTATGTTTCAGATGCACCACTCAACCTCTCCAAACCAAGAAATCACCTAGGGAAGTAGAAGAGAAGCACAGAATACCTTATATTGACGAAATAGCAGTGGAAGTTTGGCTATATTATGGAAGTTTAGAAAATGAAGTGTTTCAGACTTTACTAAAATAGGGAAAGGAGCTATTTTTTTCTATAAAAGTACATTTGAGTAGTCACACGCTGTGTTAGGTACAAACAGACTAAGTATATCTTGACGTAGCCTGAATGTTTTTTAATTTAATTTTGTATTGATGGATACTTATACACATTGCTATGTGTAGATGCATTTATTACACAGAGCAAATTATTACCAAGTTTAAAGCTTGCTTGGAAAATGGATTTCACCATTTTCTTTTCTACTAGTACAATTTTTATGTGTAAAAACAACCAGTTGAGGTTTAACATTGTATAAACAGATGCCTCATATATTCATGTAAATTGTAATTATAATATTAATTATCAGAAGCATAGTAGCTTTCTGTCCAAAATGAAAAGTGTATTGCAGAAATAAAATAAAGTTCAGTATTAGCTGCTGTATATTTTCAGCACTAGAGTTACCAGTCAGGTTGCATGATGTTGAAACTGCAGGGAGTCAAAGTACCGGTAGTGCTTAGAGCAGACAAATGCACTCCTGGATGAATGTGTGTATGCTTATTAACTAGCTGCACACATTTAAGTTGCATCTGCCTGTGCAGATTTCAGTTAGCTTGTGCATGTAGGGGTGGTGATGCTCAGTCAGGACGATGAAGGTCGTGTTTGTGTATGGTGTGTGATCATGTAATCTCATTATTGTAACATATTAATTATACCCTAATTATGAAAATTGTGTGATGAGTAGTGATGATTGATCTCAAAAGAACGTTTCAGGAAGTTGGTCACTCTTGTATATTATCTCCTGTATTCATTACCAAAATCTAATAGTTGCTTTCACCAGCCAGGCATCTAGAGGGTTATTAACCTTGCGAAGGCTCTCTGGTGTAATGTTCTACCTCTGAATATTCTGTCCATGTAAGGAACAAATTTTAAGAAGCTTTTGCATCATGTAGGTAATCATTTGGATTATCAATGTAATGCTAGAATTAAATGCAGTTAGTTAAAGGGGATTCTTGATCACTTCATCTTTGATCTTGACCCTCTGTCTGCATTGCTTCAGACCTGTTAAGTGTATTTCCAAAATGTCAACAATTTTGTCCAACAAAGTCTTATGTGGCCTTATGATTGAAAATTAATTTTGTGTGCCTTTCTTGGCATTATTCAAATGCTGCCAGAACATACAATTTATGTCAGACTTTCCTAAATGTGTCTTTGTATGCAAACAAAAACAGTATTCTATTTTACTATAAACTTGTATAGAAGTTTAAAGATAATTTATCTTCTAGTGTATGTGTAACATTCACTGCTCTATCTCAAATTCTTTCTTCACAGTTACAAATATGATGCCAGCTGGTAATGTGTTGGTTGTCATTGGCTTGGGAAGGTAACATGATTTGAAATGGGCTCCTCTAATTTGCATAAAACTACTTAGCTTGAATAACTTTACTCTGTAATCATATAAAAGTTACTCAAGTATGAAGAAGAATAAATCAAAAAAGTATTGGGATATTTTTTATCATAGATTATCAAATGCAACCAGTGTGATAAAATTCTGCTTCACCAAGGGCTTTGATGTTAGGAGTAAATGGATCCTTCCTCATTTGCTTTTGATATCCTTGCACTGGCAAAAAAATGATTGGTTTAATATTCTAAAGAATATTTTATAGGTACTTCAACCTGCTGTCCTTTATTTAGAAATGTTTAATGTTTCCAGTAACAATAACACTAAACTAGATCAGCCATTCTGCTAAGTAGTAATACATTATTCACTGTGGAAGTCTTGCATCAGAATTTAAAGTTAAAAGATGAAAAAGGGCAGCTGTAATAGTTAGGCATTTATCAAACATTAGTTAAGATGTCATTATGGGTATGGGCTAAGTGATTGTAACTAGAGTACCTTGAGCTTAACAGGAAACTTTATTTTGAACCACAGATTGTCACAAATTAGTTTATAATACAAGATAAAGGACCACTGCTTGAAGATGGAGGAAAGAATGGGCAATTGATTCCCAATAGAAGACTTACCATAGGTGATAGTAGACTTGTAGATTTTAACACTGATAGCAGTCAGGTTAAAAGAAAATTTATTTGCAAGTTACTGTACTTTGTATCTGATCAATGCCTTTGAAAAGACCTTTATTATAACTCATTTTATAGATCAAATTATACTCTAATCATAAATGAAGCCTCTGAGGTATAATGTTTTGTGCCATTAATAAGGAAGCAAGCCATATGAAGTCATTTGTGCTTCAGATTTATATCTCTCATGTGTTAGACTAGTGGAGAACAAGCCTCTTATAAGGAATAACCTAAATGATGGTCTGCAGCATGAGAGCAGTCCTTGAGGTACAAAATGTGGGGAATAAGCTCTTAATGAGTTGATGCTTTGCTTCAGAAAGGCTAAATTTGTGATACTTAACTATAGCATTTTCAGCATTAACTTATTTAATTTAGATACCACTGCCACAAACATCTGTGCATTTACACAAGAATCTTATGCTTATTTTTTGTAACATATGTGTATAACTGTATAAATGCTGTGAAAGAATGTGTAAGGATAAAAGGTTTGTAGCGCTGAACCTTGGTAATTCAACATTGTAAAAATGTTTATATGTTTTATATTGTGCCAAAATGCATTTCTCTAACATGTTGTTTAATTATCCCAGTATATCAAATGTGTGTCAGAGGTTTGTATATTAAATGTATACCTGCAAGAAAAAATATTGAAGTATAAGAAAAGTGTGAAGAATCTAGTTGAGTGAAAAGAAATTTCTTGGACCATAAAGCTGCAATTAAAATGAGTGAATTTGGACCCCCCCCCCATCCCTTGCTCTATGGGATGGGGGAGGGAACAGGGTATTGGGGTATGCTTGTATGGGGGCTTAGGAGACAGAGATTGAGGCCCAAGGTAGGGATCACTCTTACCTTGGGCCTCAGCCCTCACCTCAACTAATTTTTCAGTCTTTTCTTCTTCCCCTTTCCTTTTCCTTCTCTTCTGTCCACATCCTACTGTGTGAGAGCTGTACTTGAAAGGATGAAAGGCTGCATTTGTGTCAGTCCTGAACTGCCTTTGTACTGTTAGCTCTTCCTTCTTTACCCTTTAAAATATCATACTAACCTACTGTGCTCAACATCTTTTGACATCTAACATGTTTTGTCCTATTAACTAATTTTTAATCTTTTTGCCATAAAATAGTGCTGTATGACCTTTGATGTTTGGCACATTTGTTTTAACCATTCTGTGAATCCATAAACACGGCTTTATAAACCAAAAAACTTTCATACATGGGGGCTTTGTCCCCAGCCTCACCTTGCTGCTATATTTGAAATATGAAGCTAAATGACTAGAGACTGATACTACAGAAAATTTTCAATAAATGAATAGTGGATTTGAGCTTTGAGCCAATTTAATGACATTTTTAATGTAATGAGATTTATTTGCCATTATGTAGTATTATACAAAGGCAAAAGGAATATTGCATTTAGGAGGAAGATTGATATTTGGAAAATTGTATGGCATGTCAGTTTGGCTGGTAGCTTACTCCTTTCCTATCTGTTCTTATATGAGCCCACAGTATAATTTGTGTTAAGCCAAGCTAGGGCAATGAATCTGAGTGGTACGTAAACTGATTAAGTCACTGTCAGATGGCACCATTATTTTTGTGAAGTTTTATGGCAATGATGAATCTGGTTTCCAAGCAAATAGCCTTCCAAATTAATGTCTAAAGCATTAAATATGTCTAAAGCTGTTCATTATATCAGACAGACTTGCAAGACAGGATGTATCATCCTACAGACTGCAAAAAGTAGTGCAGTCTGAAAGGAAGCGATTGCCTCTTTAAGCCTGCACTTTCCTAAACAGAAATCCAATAAAAAAGTATTTGATTCTTTCTGGTAGAGGGAATGCAAAAAGAAAAGAAGAGTGGCGGTCTATCACACACACACAAAAGTAAGTCCCTTTGTCCATATTAGTATCTCAAAGTCTATTAATTGCCCAAGTGGAACAAAAAACAAAAACAATGTAAGTGAAAAATTCAATCAATTTTATTAACAAATTAACTAGAACCTTAACAAAATAGTAGTCTTTGGATTACTGCTCAGACATTTTACGGTTTCAAATAGTTGGATTTGTCAGCTGGTTTCTCATAAACAGAAGCAACTGCCCAAGACCATTTTTACTAGCTGAGCCACCAAGATATGTCAATTCCAGACTGATAAGTCCTCCTGCTTGCTTCAAATGGATGTTAAACCTAAGAATGCACTCCAGTCCACCTGCCTGATGCACATGTGGTTTCTTTTGCTTGTGTAGTTTTTCACTAATCTGCTTCAGGAACTCTGAATTAGAAGATATTTCTTTATCTGGGCTGTTTCCAATACCCGAGTCATTTGGCGATAGCATATGATATGGTATGGGTTTCTCTTCTGATCCATTTGTTGACTTATTTAATTGTTCTGAGAAAACTTTTTGTTTCTTCCTTTCATGAGTACTCTCTTCCTGGCTTTCTTCACACTCATCTTTACTCCGTTTGTGTGTTTGTTGCCTTTCTGTTGCTTGTTCAACTGAAAGTTCTTCATTCTGATTCATTGCTGGAAAAAAGTCTAAGATGAGTAAAATCTACAAATGGGCAAAATCCAAAAAAAGTGGCACTGGATTTCCAATGCTAAATAATACTGACTGTCAGAATATAGCTTGATTAAATAATTAATGAAGCTTAACCAAAAGCTATGTATGTCATATTGGTTTATCAAACTATTCCCACTGATATATTGATGGTAAAATATATTCAATGTGAATATACGAAAATTAAACCATTTCAATATATTTCCAGGGAATATTGCTACATCATTTACTTTGGAAAGAGAAACTAGAACAATATTTTCAAGAGGTTTTACCTATTCATTAAATAAGAAAAATGAGCCTATCTGCCAAAAATACTAGTAGCAACATATATTAAATATTGAGACTAGTGAACCATTAAAATTTGGGTCTTTTTTAGAGGATAATACATAAAAATAAAGAATTAGCAAAAAGAAAAAACTCACTGTCATCTTCTATGAGGTCTTGATGCTGCTCATTCCTTTCTTCTGTACACAAGGTCTCTCCCTCACCAGATATTTCCACGTCATCGGACTCTTCAGTCTTGTGTGTCTTTTCTGAAAGTATATGTATAGGTCTATGTATGGATATATATAAATAAAAAATATATACATAGGTAGACAGATTTATGTAGAAAGATATACAGACATAGATAGATCAGGATTTTAGCGATAGTCCACATCCACATTTGTCAGCACATCTGAATATTTGTTAATCACACACACACACAAAAAGTACAGATCCTAGAAATATTATATGTTTCCTAGATTAACTGCCAATTGCCTCGTAAAGATTACATTTGCTAGTCATAGTCTCTGTCTGTCTCTTCCTCTCTCTGTAAAATTCTTGAGATTTAAAGTAATATTTCTGCTTATGAGTTACTTGATCAAAAAGAGACTGACACCAATGCAAACATGAGAAGTTTACACAAATGCATATTCATGTATCTGAAAAAAAGATCAAGCTGCTTACCTTTATTTCTGCGATCGAGCTCTCGTTTCTTCCTTCTCTGATGTAACCAAGTTGGTTTATATGCTTTAACATGAGCACCTACAAAATACTTTGTATTCTTGAAGACACGCACCTTAACCTGAGGGGGTTCATATATGCAGCTGAGACAAAAAGCAAAATGTAATAATCCCTCATTAGTAACATACTGAATATGTATGATTCAGCATCTCATAAACTGAGGGAGTTCATATATGAAACAGAGAAGAAAAGCTTAATACAATAATTACTCTTGGTGAGTAACATAATAAATCAGTAGCATATATGATTCTGCTTCTCATACAAACATTAACTTTTACCTTTAGATAATGCAACCATTTTGCAACCATTCGCCATGCTGCTGGAACAGAGTACGCTGTCAATAAGCTGCGAGGCATTATCATTACCATTGGCTTGGTATTTGCCATTTGTTTCTTACTCATTACTTGATTCAGTTGCAACTTTGGGTCGAAAGTCCATGCAAGTCCCCATCTGCAGTTTGGATATTTGAAAAACTTTCTGAGTTTATAAAAATTAATTATAAAATATATAGCCAAAATATTTTTGAATCTCACTAACATTGTATGCATTTTTCTCTCTTCTAATATACATACCTCATGGTTCTTCCTTGGCAGAACTCTGTAACTGATGAATGTGCAGGACTAACAGTGGCTAAAACTTGTTTTATTTTTTTAATGTCTGCTTTGGTTCCAATTAGTGTTGTGAACATCCTGGAAATAGAAAATACAAAATTTATGATAAGAGGAGGAGGAGGAGGAGGAGCAATCAAACAGGTAAACATATGATGACACAGTTAGAGTTCAATAACTTGCTGTAGATGGATGGCACTTGTCTAAAAGGATTCAGCCACAATAATAATAATATAAGTATGTTCATATGTGTTATATAAAGCAAGAATACCAATAGTCTGTTCAATCTGGAAATATAGGAGCCCCCACCCTCTCCCAGGACTGATAATTGATAGTGATATCTGACTCTGATTATTAATAGTTCCTCATCTTTAGTTTATAGTTTTCATGAATTTGTATTTATATTTCTCATCTATCATTGATTACGTACATATAGGAATAAGTGATTGTAAAGCTTAAAGTATTGTTTGATTAGATTATTTCTTTTGTAGCAAGGTTGTCTGGCTAGCTAACAGGGTTGTCTCCTTTGAAAATCAATAATAAAATTTGACTAATAATTTGGTAATAACATTTCTCTCTTTTAAAAGGAGAGCTTAAATTATGGTTAGATTTTCTATTTCTGTGGAAAAAAATGATAGCAGTGATCTTACTACCACAGAAACTGCAATGAAACTGAAAAAGAGGGAGGCAAAATGTTGAAAAATTATTCAAACAATAGAATCAAAGAAAAACAAAAAGGCTAGATACATGTTACAAACAGTTTACTTACCTTACTTTATCTTTCAACTGAGAACTTTCCTCAATCATTTGTGTAATAAATGATATTTCTCCTCCAGAAGTAACTATCTCTTGCACAGCACCTGTTCAAAAGTAACTTATGCACATAAAATTATATGCAAAATAATATAAATTTAACTTTAAATCTGTATGGAACTTATTAGAACTATATTTTTATTCCTCTAGCAGTATAACCATCTGAATCTTAGAATATTCTCCAAAGAAAATTATATCAACTAAAACATTTAGTTCAAATATAATCTTCATTTCAATAATTCTTTGGCTGGGAATGGGAACCTAATAATTTACTTTTATGCTAATTCTTGAACTCTCTTTTGTCTCCTTTCTCCAACTGCAAGGGATCAACTCAAGATGTATTCTGATTCTCCATTCAGATTTTTTTTTTTTACTTGTGACACTTAGTAAGGCAAGTCACTACACAATTTGGAAGAGAAAAAGAGTTACAGGCAGCCTACTCCTCAGTAAACATAGTTCAATCAATAAACCTGTAGCTTTGTGGGTTCTCAATTTCTAGAGGAAACTCTAGGAGTGTTCTTGAGTTTAAAAAAACGGCACTCTTACTTGGTGACTCATAGGATTCATGTGGCATAGATTATAAAAATAATGTACATACACACGCAACAAAATTAAAGGAAGGCCCCACTGTAATGTATTACATGTCATTCATGTTCAGTTACTGGCTGGAGCTTGGCTACAGATGGAGAGTATCATGCTCTTCAGGTTACAAATCGCTGAGTAGAAAATTAGAAGAAAAGGAAAGAAAAATGAAGGTAGATAGAAAAGAAAAGAAAAAAAGAAAAAAGAAAAAAGTCTCCTGATCCACTATAAAAACTGTACAAAATGCTCCTCTTTAAAATCTGGCATTCTACAGCAATTAAAACCAAAAGTAGAAAACTAAAATTACAGAAATCACAATGGAAAGCAAGGAATTGACCCACGAAGAGTAAATTCATTAGTACTTCAAGTACCTGTTGGAACACTAACAGGTTCTCCTCTGCCTTTCTTGCTCTTGTTCATGGTGTGTATTTCCTCTTCTGAACCAAAAAAGGGTGGATTACACATGGTGAAGTCAAAGATGTAATTACTGCTTTCCAGATCTTTCTTGTCATCTGTTAGGAAACAGAAGAGTGCAATAATGAGTTTAATATCATTCCATAATCCTCTGGAAGTCATATATAGGATTCACATACATTCTAAGCTCTGGCAACACTATTTCTAGGGACAAATAATCACCATCCAGGACTTAATATCATCTACTTGCCACAGATTAAAACAACTACACAGAAACCTCAGTGTCTACTATATTTTTCCTTTATGGTTCTATGGCTGCTAGTACAACAGTATTTAAGGTCTGGGATGTGTATTCATATTTCTGTAAACATAATTTTGTCTTAGGAACATTCTATCAACTAATTTCTGTCAACCCATATCTTGATCAACACAGTTGAGTGTTGTCAGCAATGTCTCCTACAGTACTTTGCATGGGATCTTCTCTGTCTTCTTTTTAATAATACATGCTGTTTCTGGATAAATAAGACTATTTATGTAAACTTTGGACCCTATGTATCCTGTATAACAGACTGAAGTTGCACATACTAGATAGGACAGCTCCAAAATGTATCAAACATGATGAAATATCCTACTGTCTCAAGTTCCACTTCTGCTTTGCCAGGCGGAATCTTGTGAATCTTGAGGCTTGTCCATCGATTCTTCCTTAGCTCGTAAAGCAGTAATCTCTGCTAGACTTGTTTCGTTCATCCAATACATTCTTCAAGATTACATTCTCTCTGGACCTGAGAATACATATTTCATCATACAAGATTCCTAGCTCATATAAAATCTAAATGTTCAATTCAAAATCATAAATTCTCTTGCTTTAATAATAATCATAATAATAGTAATGCATATTGATGGCTGCCAATAATATGAAGAAACAGAGAATAGGGTTGAAAGAGAGGTAGGGGATGAATAACAGACAGAAGAAGAAAAAGGAGGTCCACAAAAAGGAGATAAATATATCTGAAGGAGGAACGAGCAGGGAAAGTGCAGGAGAAGGTGTGGTAAGGGAAGAAAAAAGGCAAGACAACAAGAGAAGAAGAGCGAAAGACTGCACAAGAAGGAGAATTAGAAGAAAATTAATGGAAATGCAAGCACAAGGCAATTTAGCACTGGTTATCAAACCAATGATCCTTTTCTACTTTCCTCTGTAGAGTAAAGATCTTGTAATATTACTCTTATTAATAATAAAATCATCTAGACTCTTTGCAAATGGATACTGCTTTTGTTCTACTTTACTTGGATACTGCTTTTGTTCTATTTACTTTATACTATACTAGAAATACTTTAGTGTATATACAATTCATTCAATAACATGCGCAAAAATGCAATCCAAAGCTTATTTTTTTAAACCTAACATTTCTGTTTATGAGAGTAATATAATATCATTTGGCCTTAGGATTAAAGTAATGAAGGCATGTAAGCAAAACAACAGTTATAAATATTAAAAATTAAATGATAAATATATACTTCAAAATGGTATAAAATGCCTGCATAAAGCTTTCACTTTCTAAAAAAAAAAAAAAAAATCTTACCTTCTTTGATAAAAATCTCATCCTGCATACTATTCTTCTTAACATTATTAACTGCACTTTCATAGCTAACTTCATCTGCCTCAGTGCATAACATGCTCCAACCAAACTGTTTAGCAGCAAGCAATGGGTAAACACAAGCTGATCCAGTACCTGCAAGAAGTAAAGATGTCCCATACTATGTCAGCGTGTGTATACACTTATCCATAATCAAATATTTCCACCATTTGATATTTGTAGACATACTTTTACCTCGAGAAGAAGAAGACGAAGAAGAAAAAAAAAAAAAAAGAAAGGTTACACCTACCAATATCCACTCCGATTCTTGTACATTTCTGATCTGTTCTTGCTGAGAGTGTCATCAGATCCTCTATCCATAGAAGGTAGTTGAGACGTAAAGGAAGTGTTGGTACCAAACGACCATCAGGTATATCCACCTGACAAAATGACAGGATCATTTATTTTACAGTTAAAATATACATACATGCATGCATACACAGAAATACTTCTATGTATGCTTGTCTCTCCCTTTTTTTGTATAGTATGTATCTGTCTACCTCTCTCTACACACACATACATAAATACACACACACACAAACAAAAACACACACCCTGTCTATCTATCTATATATGTTTGTTTGTGTGTGTGTGTCTATATATGTATTATACTATATAATATTTATATATTATTATATATTTATATATATATATAATATATATATATATATATACACATTCACACACACACACAAATGTACATATAAATATATACCATATGTATACCAATGTATATATATATGTATATGTAGATCTATCAATTTATCATAATCTATATATATTATATAGATAGATATAGATATATATACATTATTAAAAAATGATATAGAATATCAAGCCACACGTGACCTACATCATATTACTTAAAGCAAAAAGGGGAAATATCATAATGACTATCACTGGCCTCGCTGTAGTGTCAATCATATGCTGTATGGCAAAACACCAACCTTGAGGCCAAAGTCTTGGTCTAGAAGACATGTTGTTAGCGCCCGCAATGCATCACAGTTCTTTAAAGTCCAAGCGCACCTTGCCGGACAGGTTCATATGTACAATGCGCCCTGAACTCTGGGATACTGCATTGCAAGCTTCTTAAAACTCGGCGGAGTGCGATAAGGGTTGCGAGGATGCATAAATTGGTTCAGCTTTGGGGTCCACCTTTTCCTTCTGGAATTGCAGAAAAAAGAATGAAACAATTATATCATGAAGATGAAGCCAATGTCATTAGGGCGATGAGAAATGGTCAAGGCTACATAAGTTTTAACAGCATTCACTCTATAGGCTTCAGACACCCATACACAAGTATTCCTTAACTGTGAAATATATGTGTATACCATAAATATATATATGCATAAAATATGTGA